GGCTCTGCCTGTTAAAACGTGATCCTGCCTCAGCTCCACCCCTCCCTTTTAATATTTGCAGCAGCCTAGAAAATTACACGCAACAAAAAATAACTGATGGAAAGGGCACTTAATAGCTTTTGTTGCAGCAACCGGACACTAATATGTTGCAAAGATTGAGTAAGTATTTTATTCAGGATAGGGCTTGGAAATGCAATGGTGAGCCTGCTTTTTCTGGAAGCGCCTGCGTGTTTCTAAGTAGAAGCTATGAGAGACTTCTGGAAAGCATGTATTTGAAAGAAACCCATGTCACATACAAGAAAAACAGCGCTTCTTTCTAAGCACTTTCACTTTCTAGACAACAAAAAGATCCTTGTCTATGTGAACTGTTATTACTCCCTGCAGCTCAACACGGCAGTGGTATTTCTGTTACGAAGAATTTAGGCTGGAAACAGGGCACGGGATTTAACAATGTTGAACTGAACAGCAACTTAAGTTTTGGGGAGGATTTTCTTTCTGAGCCAATTTTAAAACCTTGGTCATAAGTTAACTTTCCCAGTAGATGTTCTCTGTTTCAAATCAAAGATAATTCAGGAAAGATTGTATTTTAGGAGATCAGATGAAATGATCACAGTGGTCTCTTTGACTTTTTTATTCTATGCATATTTAACTCCTGAAAATGAAAGAGCAACAAATATGTTTAGAAATATGTTTTCTATGATGAAAAGCATGTAAATATTTGAAAAAAAAAATAATAAAAGAATGAATACAAAAGTACCCAGACATTCTGTACTTTACTGATAGTCTCATTCCCTATGTAAAAGCACAAGCCCAGAGTCAGTTTCATCAACAACTTTACATTCTTGTGTATGTCATCACTGCTTGACTTGAAAGGAGTCCAGTGTGAATCACTACATATTGTGTTTTACTAAATAAAATACTCTATTATACTTCCTTATTCTGCCTGTTTATATACATAGAATGGTTCAATTAAGAAGAGGTGAGTGGGAAGAAATACGAATTCATGTTTTACAGATTACCCACCCACAAATGTACTTTAAAACTGTAATTAAAAGTAGGCAATTTTTTAAGTTTTGAAACCTGTCTTATAAATCATGACTTGTCATTTTCTCCTCCTGCTGGGAAGATTACTTTCTATCTTCTAAAGTTATAAAACTATAATAAAGTTTTTGTCTTGGGTGCTTTTTAATGGAGACACTGAGTTTAATGCCATAGCGTTAGAAAAAGTATACTGAAACTTTTTTTCATAGTCAGGACTAGTTGCAGAATCATATGCCTAACTTTCCATTCTTTTACAAAAACTGTGAAGATAGTGGTATGCAAATGAAGTCCAGGCTCAGTAAGTGAAGGAAGCACGGAATCTTCTCTGATAAAATTAATAAAATGTGGGACTCTTAAAAAAGCAACATCAGATAGATTTGGAGATTTTTCCAACCCAAATGAATATGCTTTATTTTTGTGCAATAGCAAGTTGAGTAATAGTCTATGTTTGAATTAAATGTCCAGGTAGAACCGTTTGTTAAAAGTCAAAATTTAATTCAGCTGTAGCATTCCATAAAAGCAATACTCTTTTGCTATGTAAATTTTTGATGTATAGATCTTCTGTGTATGCTTAATACTGTTTTTCATACGCACTGCTGTGCTTTCACATTCACTTACTGCAGTGTTTCCCATTTATTAGATCCTAACCACGCCTTTCAGCCTTCAGTACGTTTACTGGCCATTTTATTTAAGAAATATGCACTGGTTTAATTTCAGGAGACATTATCCTAATTAAACTGGTGCAACCTATTTTTAATGCACTTTAAAAGCAATTTGTTTTGATTCATCATAAACCTGCTACTAAAGGTAGGAACAGACAATCAAGAAAAACTCCCCTGAATAAAAACCTAACCTACATTGAGAGGAAACGGCAGGTAACAACCCGGTTATTAGCAGTTTCGTCTTGTGACTCAAGCAAGTCATACAACGTGTGACCTGGCAGATGGGAGCCTGGGAACACAGCACAGTTGTGTGCACCGTGTCAGGTAACCAAAGGTGGGTTATCCACCGACACACCTTTTTCAGTTTTGTGGAAAATCCCCAAAATCACAAAATGAAGAATGAGTCACCATTTCAGGCTGCAGAGCAGCAGCTCAAATGCATCCAAGTTTGCAGACATCCATGCTATCGCCAGCCAGCAGAGAACTGAATCCAAGCTGCTTTCTGCTGGCATAAATTCACAAATCCATGGTGCAAGAACAGATGCAACGAACTGTGGGCAATTCACAGTAGCAAAAATATTTGTTTTGAAGGTCCCACCAATGAAACTGCCCTGTCATTAGTTAAAGAAGTGATGGGTTAGGAGCACCATCTTTCTCTTAAATGGTATTTCTGAACATCTGAAGCAAGCACTGATGGGGAAAGAGCATAGAGGAGTGCATTGTCAAAAGTGTTATTAACAAAATAAACTACCTCAAATTTGCTGTGGGCATGCTGAAGGAACGCAGTGTGCCAGAGCAGATGCTGTGATGATGCCAAGAATCTTATTTTTGGTTTACAAGACTTCTGTTAACAGCATCCACCTTAGGAGATTGTATTACTGCAGCCATCCTTGCCTAGGTAAAGCAGCCGCTTTGGACATAAATGCAAACGCTCTGCAGCAGATGCAGCAGTGCAGATGCAGGCGCAGGTGCCCTGTGTGCATCTCAGGGTTTCAAACAGCTCCACCAGCGCTGGAAGTTCCCTCCTGTGAAGGAGTGGGTGTGCAAGGCAGCCCAGCCAGCTCTGTCAGCATGAAGGACATTGTGCTGGCTGCTACTGTCCTTGCAGGGTGCGAAGCGATGGCAAAGAGCAGGGTTAGGGCAGCTCTGCTACCAAAAGACAACAGGGCTGCATGACACTTCACCACATAGAATCCTTACAGTTGGAGGAGACTTTTAAGATCATCACATCCAACCGTTAACCTAGCACTGCCAAGCTACTACTAAACCCTCAGCACTACACATCTTTTAAATACCCAATATAAATAACTCCCAATGTGCAAGCTCACAACCCGCTATACCGGGTCCGCAGGCCTCCTCCGTCCCTCAGACCTCCCCGCAGACCCAGTTAACGGCAGGCTCTCACATACACACCCTGCCCCGCCAAGACACCTGCCCGCACACGCTGCCGCCCCTCGCCTTCCCGAGGCGGCCGGGAAGCCGCCTCACCGCCGCTCCCGGGCCCTCTCCCTCAC